AACTAAAAAGCTATCTATTTATATAAAATAATTTACATATAAAGATATAACTAACATGTCTACTATGTCAACTATGTCTAATATATCAACTATATCTAATATGTCAACTATGTCGAATATGTCAATTATGCCACATATGTCTGACATATCACATATATCACTTATATCAATTTAGTTGATTTTTTATGCTATATAAGCTGCATCACATTTACCCATTCATAGTAATAAACTTACAATAGAACTTAATACAAAATCTTTAATGAACTATTTATAAGTAACACTAAAATTACTAATAATCTTTTCACAAATTTTTCTGAAGTTTAATATAAGGTTCAGCAATATCAATATGAACTTAATAAGAAACTTACTGAAGAAATTATTAAAATCAATTTATATGATACTAACTATACTCTAAGATGTAAAAAAATTTATAAATAATCAATAATATGGATTCTTTGTAATAGAAAAAGAGGAAACAGCTGAAAAAAATAAAAAATGAGTTAATGTTAAATCTGAACATATTTTGATCTAAAAATCATATTTGGCTTATAAAAGTAAAATTAATTTTTTCTGGCTGTTTCCCTCCTTTTTATTGTAAAGGTTCCATATAATCACAAGACTTGATAATATTGAAAAAACTTGCTATAATGATTTTAAAAACATTTCATCTGAATTTATTTCAATCAAGATCTCTATTGAAGCTTTTCAAAATGAAATTATCTAACATTATGCAATTGCCCAAAGATTTCAGGTCAAATTTGATCAGCTGAGTATATCATCCAATTCATTCAATTCATCTTTTAAAGAAAATAGGCACCATTTTAGGTAAATTTTAAATTTTATTAGAGAGAGAGACCCTATGGATTATGTATTTGAGACTGTGAAACGTGAAATTCGTGAACTTATTGGAAAAGAATTGGGAAGGATACTGTGAAAAACTTTTATTATGGTAAAGGGGGATCCAAAATTTAACATAGTAGTGTCAATTATGAAATGGGTAGATAATGAAGAAATTACTTGTAGTTTAGTTAATAACTTAGATAAAGAGTAATAGAAAAGAAACTGCCATTATATGGGTTAGAGCTTGGCAGGCTTAACATGTAAGCGTGCTCTTTCATGCCTTTCCTCCCTTGGAACAGCCTGCTACTCTATCATTTACTTTCATTTTTACTTAACCGGCCAGCCTTTTCTCATGTATTATTTTATAAAGAATTTGATTGGTTTTAAATTTATTTTAATTATTTTTGTGTATAAATTTGTAATATACTGTGCCTATAATACATGCGAACATGCAAATGCAATACCAACAAATTAATTTTTTTCTTGGTATCAGCCTATTTCCAGATAAAAGTATAGCGTGAAAAAAATTTCTGTTACTACATGTACTTATGCCACAGTTCTTATGATTTATTTCGTGTGGTATTGTGATCATCTGTATGACACTGCATAATTACCATTAGGCGCTTTTGGAAAATCATTAACTTCCGAGTGTAACAAGTAAATTAAAATTCTTGTACACAGACTGATTCGGCGTAGATAAAATACATCAAACTAGCCTTTGTGAGAGTTTTATTGTAAAGAAAAATTATCTGGAAAATCGCTTTATTATCAAGCAGGTAAAAAAAAAATTCCCGATGCTATTCCAAATCCTGAAAATTTATTAATAAAGTTTCTCAATCTGGCTTTGAATTTTATAAAATATATTTCATTCGATAAGTATAATCGGAAAAATGAAACATAGGTGATTATCGTGTGACACATGATTTGCAAAATGATCTTCTGATCAGCTGTGTGACGGTAAAAAAAAAAAAACAAACTGATTACTGATTGTTTTTTTTAGGGCTTGCTGATATTCAGATAAAAAAGTCATTATAACAATACCTATATTTTTCTCGCATTCGATCTAGCATCAATTTCGATAAATTGAAATTAAGAGCCCGCGAACTCCAATAATTAAGTACATCCATTAATAAAAACTTTAATTTTTTCATGATTGATTACATAAATTTTAATCAATTTTCTATAGTTGACATCTTTTAAAGGTCTTTTTTTGGTTAGAGGGCAATAACGTCAGGTGGCACAAGCGACAAAAATTTCAAATATAAAATAATTGCGTAATCTCTCATCTTAATTATTGTATCCTGTTGACTTCAAAATTTTAATAATAATAAACATTGTTTCATTTTTCTTATTTTTGATTAAATGTTAACCATTGATTCAAATACGAAATTAAACAATGAATATTATGATTTTATTATTGTTGGAGCTGGAACTGCTGGATGCGTTCTAGCAAGAGAATTGTTTTACAATATCCCCAACATTAATATTTTAGTATTAGAAGCTGGTCCACCAGATACCCATATCAATGATATAATGCGTTTGCCATGTGCTTATTCTATGGTATATTATGTTTTTTTTTTCAACTTTTTATCCCATGGAGTTAATGTCGAATTTATTATAATAGGTTAGGCATACAAGTGAAACAGATTGGGGTTATTCCACTGAAGATCAAAGAATGCCTAGTACTGTTGATCCTACTGAAGAAGTATTAAATAAAGGTTTTCCTTATCCACGTGGCAAGGTTATTGGGGGATGTAGTACTGTGAATGCAATGGCTTACATGTTAGAAAAAATTTTAACTACTTTTATTTTTTTCCGCAGATTAAAATCATTTTGTAAAAATTTTAATTTTTTTGTTTTTGTATTCATTATACAAAAATGTTATGATTTTAGGCGAGGTCATAAAGCTGATTATGATCTTTGGGCTGCTCAAGATCCTGAATACATTATTTGGAATTATGATCACTGCCTTGAAGGTTAATATTAAATAAATACATCGGAATTCTTGTATATAATATATTTTATATATTTTGCTTACAGAAAAATTAATTGTTTTAAACCATTGCATTAAACAAAAGCTTTCAAAGCAGTTGAAAATAATGCACGTAAAGATCCAGACGTAGAATTTGAAAATTATCATGGGTTCAATGGTTTGCTTTACGTACAAGATCCAGCAGTTGATGAACTTGATATTTCCAAAGATGTTTTTAAAGTCGTAAGAAAATTTGGTATTCCTTATAATAAAGATTTCAATGGCGCTAAACAAAATGGAGTAGGAAGATACCAAGTATGTGAGTGTAAATAAAAAATTTTTAAACGTATTACGTGTTATGTTTTTAATATTGTATTGAATTTTAATACAATAGTTTACGATGAAAGATGGAAAGCGCTTTACATTGGCTGATGGTTATTTGAAAGATGCATTGAAAAATGTTACAGTTTATCCTCCGAAACCATTTATTGAAGGACATCCTCATGCACCAGGCGATGATAATGTTGGCAAGTTTGTGGCAGTTAATGTTAAATCCTTTGCTCACATGTTAAATATTATTTGGGACGAAAAAAAGAAAGATGAAAATGTCGCAATAGGCGTGAGATATTCTTATAATGGTAAAGTTCACAATTGTTATATTGCTCCAAAAGGTGAAGTTATTATTTGTGGTGGTGCTATTAATAGTCCTCAGGTAATAATTGAGAAATAATAATTTGTTCATGATTAAGTTGACGTTATTTATTTTGATAAAAATTTTTTTTATAAGATTTTAATGCTCTCTGGAATTGGACCAAAAAAAAATTTAGAAAATAATAGTATTAAAGTTCGTAAAGAATTACCAGTTGGACATAATTTATGGGATCATCCTTTTTGTATCGTTACTGCCTCAGTTTCTGTTCCAAATAGTACAAGTGCTTCTATATTTAATTATTCAAGTTATGGAGTAGACTTTGTATCTTTTTATAAGGGTAATATTGAAGGAAAGATTCCTAGTCGAGAAGAATTAAATGATGAACGTCCTGACATTCAACAAATTTGTAAGTTAATATCTTGATATAATATTTTTTTTTTTTTTTTGGAATGTTGTAAAAAAAAAAAAATGCTTAAGTAATTAATTTTATAAATTATAATTTTATAGCGGGAGCGGTCTTATTTGATAAAGGCATTATTGCTGAACATCCAACGGATAAAAAAGAATTTTATTCCATGTTAACGGCTCTTAATATTCCATCAAGTGTTGGTCATTTGGAATTACGTAGCTCTGATCCATTTGCACACCCAAAAATATTTGTTAATTACTATGATAAACCCGAAGACTTGTATAGAATGATGAGTAGTCTTAAATTATCACGTAAAATACTTGAACAACCTCCATTAAGTACTTATTGGGGTGTAAAAGTAATCGGACTAGATGAAGTGAATGATGATAAAGAATGGGAAAATTACATTCGCAAAAGGGTAAGTATAAAAGTATATTTACTGTATATAGAGAATATACTTATTAATATTAACTTCCCTTATTATAGACAATTTCATCAGCCCATCCATGTGGTACAGTAAAAATGGCACCAGAATCTAAAGGAGGATGTGTCAATCATCGCCTTCAAGTTTATGGAACAAAAAATCTTCGAGTTGTTGATGCTTCAATTTTTCCAACTATTCCAGCAGGTAACCTTAACGCTCCAACTGCCATGGTCGCATGGAGAGCAAGTAAATTAATTAAAGAAGATTATTATAAAAAAGTTTAATTTTTCTGTAATGCAGAATGTTGTTATAAAATAATAATTTTATTAAAGTTAATTCTAGCATAAATTTTATAATTTTTTGATTTTTCGTCTTGTAAAATAAAAGATAATCTTTCCCCCATACAAAATTCGCTAATTTTTAAATCCAACTTGTGATCCGTTGATTTCATTATCGAAGTAATTCAATATTTATTGACAAAGTGCGTGAATTTTTTTCACGCGGTCACCTGATTTTTTATTTCTGGAAGCGATCTTGATTCCTAGATACTACTATAATTATGGCTTTGGAAATTTCTATGCAACAGTTATCCAGCGAGCTTACAGGGATTACAAGAAAAGACCGAATCTTTGGCAACGAGTTAGGAATGATGGTACTCCAGACAAGAAGAAATTTTTAGGTATTGTTCCTCGTAGTAGAACTTATCATTTTATCTGGAAAATTAATAGAATGTAATTACAAAGATGATCATTTTTATATTTCGCTACTACTTGGGCAGAAGCAAAGAGAAATCGGTTTTAGCTACTGTAGCATAGGGCAAAGTTGGCATTTGGCCGCGGCCAAGCAAGCCTAATTTTTTGGCCGTTGGCCGATTTGGCCGATCGGCCAAAATCAGCGGCCAAATCCAAATCGGCCAAATGTCACATGACTTTGTCAATTTTGGCCGCGGTTTATTTGCAAATTGCAATTTATTGAATTTACTGCAAAATTGCAAAAAATACTTGATGTCTCCAACGTTCAGGACGTTCAAATTTCTTGCAAAATAGCAAAAAATTGACGCCTCCGACGTTCGGGATGTTCAAAATCGCAAAGATTGACGCCTCCGACGTTCAGGACGTTAAAATTCTTGCAAAATAGAACGTTCTGAACGTCAGAAGCGTCAATTTTTGCAATTTTTAACGTCCCGAGCGTCGGAGGCGTCAAATTTTTTTTTGCAATTAACCAATTATATTTCTGTTTCATTTGTGAGCTATTGTATAAAAAAATTTTTTGGCCGGCCAAACTTACAGCTAATTTCAAAAGTCACGGGACGGACGATCATTTTGCAGATCGATGAAAAAAAAACTCGGTAAACTCAGTATAGAATTTTTTTGAAGAAAAAACATTATCGTTACGTTCAGATCAGTGTTCCGAATATAGCGACATAATTTTTTTACCTAAAAAATATAATTTTAAATACTTTATTAGAACTTTAGAATATAAAAATATATAAGAGTTAATCGATAAAAATATAAAGAAAATATGATTTACTATTAGAATTTCTATATTATAGCTATATTCATAAAAGTTATTGCCATAAATTTTCAGATTTGAACAATAATTGTAAGTTAGTATGCAAAATTTTCAGATTAATTATTGATCAAGTTATCTTAATAAAATAATATATTATCTAGCTATGTGAAGTATTATAAAGTTAATGCATATAGGTATATATAATATAAATTAATTCTTATTAAAAAATATATAATGTAATAAATGATATACTGCAAATTATCTGTATGATTATTATTTATGTGATAAAATATTTTTATAAATCAATTTTTCAAAGAAATATTTTGAATTTTTTTCTTTACAATATTTAGCAAAATAGCATTTATTAATATATATATAATAAACTCTTAATATAATGAATTTTGATATAATGAATTTTATAATACAACAAAATTTTGATATAATACAAATTTTTTATATTAAAAAAAAATCTTGATATTGAATTTACTAGTATAATAATATATAAAGAAAATTTTATAAATATATTATATAAATGACTCTTTTTAGACTAAATTTATTTATAATAAATTTTTTTTTAATACAATGAAGATTTTAAAAGATGAATATTACTTTAAAAAAAATCAATCCTATAAAAAAGAAAAAAAAATAATATTGGTAAACATTTTTTAAAAAGCCTATCTATTTTAAGAAGAAGGAATTTAACATATTAATTAGTTTTTAAGATTTAAAGAAAACCAGTTCTAAAAAAAAGAAGAAAAGAATATTAATAAACATTCTCAGAAAACTCATTTATTTCACATTCTAAGTAGAAGAAATAAAACTTATTTAAAGTCCAAAAAAGGCTAATTCTAAAAAAAGAAAAAAGAATATTAGTAAATATTTTCAAAGAAGTTCATACATTTCAAAAAAAAGGAATACAACTTACCAGTTAGTTTTTCTAAAAGCTAGTTTTTAAAAAAAAAAAAATAATTAAAAATTAAAATAATAAAATAAAATAAAAATTAGAAAAAATTAAATAAAAAAATAAACAAAAGTTAAAAGAATGCATAATTGAAAAATTAAACAAAAAAATTAAATAAAAAAAAGTGAAAAAATTATAAAAAAAAAATCAAAAAAAATAGTAGGAATTTAAAAAAAAATCAAAAAAGAAAATAATAAAAAATATAAAACGAAAAAATAAAAAACATAAGGAAGAAATTAATTTAAAAAAAAAAATATAAAATATAAAATGAAAAAAACTACTGGAAAGAGAAGATTTAAAAAAAATAATAAAATTAAAAAAAAACAAAATTAAAAAATTAATTAATAAAAAATACTAAAGGGAAAAATTTAAGAAATATATAAAATAAAAATGGAAAAAATAAAAAAATTAAAAAAAATTTAAATATTGCAAAAAAAAAGAGAATAAAAAAGTATAAAAAAAATAATTAAAAATATAAACAAAAGCTCATTTTTATTTTCAGATAAATTTTTACAAAGTAACTATATATAAATTATATAAATTTAATAATAATTTAATAAAAATGCTTATATTTAAAAAAAGGTTAAAAAGTAAAAAATAGTAAATACATATATTTTTACTTTTAATATATATAAAAATAATTTTGCTAATTAAAATAATAAATAAATTCTAATTTTATAAATAATATTTTAATAACATTTTAATATTTTATAAAATATTATAATTTATATTTATTTTAAAAAAATTAATTAAAAAGTTTTAATTTTAATATACTGATTTATGAGATTAATATTACTAGTTCAATTAATAATAACCAAATTCTATTATAAATTATACTATAATAACTATAGTTTTAGCTAAGTTATAAAATAATATAAATTTTATTTATAGTTAAATATATAAATGTATATATTAATATTTAGAAGCTGATTAATTAATCTATCAATCAATGTCAATTATATCTAAATACTAATATTGAAGGATAAATACATATAAATAAATTAGAGACTAATATACTATTTATTTTTCAAATAGTAGAAGTCTTTATCTTGTAAAAAAGTGATTAATTAATAATTAGTAAATTAGATATTTTTTACAAGAAGTTATGTTTAATTTTTAAATATATTTAATAATATAAATATAATAATTATCTGATTTAATAAGTTATATAAAATATTATAGTTAATTAAATACTGAATTTTAAAATTTAGTTCTATTAGAACTTAATAGCCATTAGTAGATTAAAATTCTATAATAGAATATGACTATACAGTGTCAACAGAGCAATTAACCAGTCATAATGAAGTCACGTGAATGACGCAGTATGACGATCTCTTAATTCAGAATTCTGAAAATACTGAGAATTCTGCGAATTCTGAAAATACAGAGGATCTGCGTAACTCTAAAGATCTTCCAAATACTAATAATAATCATAATTAAATGAAGTCTAAGAATATTTGGTGTTATACGTATTTTTAATAT